TTTCAAAGAACATTTAATGACATTGGAAGTGATTATTAAATCCAAATTACTGTTATTTATTAGTATTATCATGTATTTTTTGAGACAATCTTGCTCTGTTATTCAGGCTGGAATGCAGTGACACAATTATAGCTTACTGCATCCTTGACTCCCTAAGCTCCAGGGATCCTCCCACCTCAGACTCCTAAGTAGCTGGAACTACAGAGGCATGCCACCACGCTTGGCTAATTTAAGAAATTTTTTTGTAGAGACATAATCTTGCCATGTTGCCCAGGTTGGTGTCAGACTCCTGGTCTCAAGTGGTCCTTCTGCCTCACCTCCCAAAGTATTGGGATTACAGGTGTGGGCCACTGTACCTGACCCAAATTATTTTTTTGTATATCTAAATATAAATTTTCACACACACATGTTGAGAGAAAAAGACTGCTGGACAATACTCAAAATGTTAATACCAAGTCCATAATCTTTTACTTTGAAAACCCTTTGGCCCATATGTGTTTGTGAATTCCAAATTTTTCAAATTTTATAAAAGTAATATATATTTCCATAATAGCATCAATAGAAGTGCTCTATAATCATACACATTAATATTTCTGCAGTGCAACAGGACTGTTCACTTTAAATGGTACACATAAATTCTATAAATCATTTTACTTCATTTGAGGTTACACTTTGCTGCTAAATGATTTTGTGTCAAACAATAAACAATGTTCTTTTTTTAAAACCTCTTTGGGTTTCCAAATTATGTGTATTTTGAATCTGTAGTGATTATGAGTGATTTTTAAATATTGTTTTTATAATTTTTTATAAATATGTACATATGTACATTTCAGAAAAATATCTTAGTACAAATTTTAAAATACATACTTCAATTTTTGTATTAAATCTTAGCCTTTTCTACAAACGAGAAGAGCTAAATGCACCAGAAGATACTAATTCCTTGATTCAACAAATATTATCCAGTAAATACTAGAGAGAAAGCTAATACTATTTTAATAAGCGTAAAGATGCTCAACCTTATTAGCGAAATATTTCAAACCATAATAGAAGTACTATTTCACACTCTTCTGATTGTCAGAAATTTAATAATTCTGACAATCCCAGTTCACCAGGATGCCAAGAAGTAGGAAATTTCATACACTACAGGTTGACTATCAACTGATAAAACTGCTTTGGAAAGCAATTTGATGATATTTAGTGAAGCAGAAGTTGTATATATACTCTATAAAACCTCTTTAGCATCATCTTACTTGTCATCAGTACATTGATTTGTACTATTTAAGAGTTGAACTTTTACTATTTCTCATACCACATCTTTCCCTAGCCTTTATTCCCTATAATTTTACATGCTCGTGTTACTACTGGGTTCTCACAACTGAGTGATTTTTTTTTTTTTTTTTTTTTTCAGGGCAACACATGCTATTCAATAACTTGTTTCCTGGACCTTTTCACAAAAATACTACTTTTTAAGCAAAAACGTAACATATATTTTTTGGTATTCCAATAACCATGGAAATAAATACGTAGCACCTTTAGTTATCCCATGTGATAGGTAGTTAAGTAACTCTTCAGTGTTGCTGGAGCCATTGTTGCTGTTTTCCATAGACAAGAACAATGAAGTAGGATGACTTGGATTACCAATCAGAATTATCTGTGAGCTGAGCATTCTTCTATTGTATACGTCTTCAAAAGTTACCATGTTGTTTTTATTGCTCAGTTTTTGTGAATCACTCTTTTTCTGCTTCAGAATTGTTTTATAAATATATATTTCTATCTTTAAATTGAAAATGTTAAAAGACAATAGTGAGATTTCTAGACTCAACTTTTTATTCATTCAACCAACATTGAGTGCCTACTATGTAGGAAGATCAATTATACAATATGAATATAACCTAATCCTCTCTTCAAGAAACTTAAGACCTAGCAAGGCTTCAGTGTAGTGTGTTAATGCTAATATAATTAAGTAGGTGTTGGATAGAATTAAGTGGAAGTCTTTCAAGTCAGGGGTCAGCAACCCTTTTTTGTAAAGGACCAGATACTGTATTTTAGGTTTTGTGGGCCGTATGATTCTTCTATCACAACTACTCTTCTCTGCTCTTATTGCATGAAAACAGCCATACATGATACATAAATGAATGAGTATATCTGTGTTCCAATAAAACTTTATTTATGGATATTAAATTTGAATTCTGTATTTTTATATGACAAATCTTTTTAAAAAATTTTAGCTATTCAAAAATTTAAAAACTGTTCGTAGCTCTTAGACTATACAAAAACAGATGACAGACCAGATTTGGCTCCCTGGCCATAGTTTGCCTACCCCTGTTTAAGTCTTTGAATTATAAGATGGTATGGAATGGGCTTCTCTTTAATAGCCTATCCAATTCCAGCTACTTTCATTACTAGGGGAATTTAGTCACATACTAGATTTAGAAGTATTGAAAGTCTCATTGCTAATCCAGTAGTTTCTGAATATCCTTGATATTCTGAATAATAATCATGATTATATAATGATAATAAAACAACAATAGTAATAATGTTGCATTGATAATATGCACACAGGTCCCAAACTCAAAGGTATGCAAGACCAAGCGTAATGCCTGACTGTTAAGGAAACAGGGAGTTATATGAATTGGGGCAAAGGAATAGCACGTAACCCATCTGTAGGAGACAACAGCCACCACTTAGCTCCAGCTAGTAGTGGGAATGCAGCCCCCATGTTTCCTGATGAAAACATCCAAGAGAAGCCAGAAATTCAGATGTATATGTCAAATCTCGCAGCTTTTTAATGTGGCAACATATTTTTTTAAACAAATACTTTTCTTTTTAACATTGTGAGTCAAATAAAATCATGTTTAGGTTTCATTTAAGCAGGCTGGCAGCTTGCCATCTCTGTGCTAACAAGTTTACTATTCAAAGGGAACTTTTTGAGAAATATCTTTTGTTATATACATTAATGATTTTATTTTAAAATTTTGTATCTCAAAGGATATTTTAATATTGAAAATTATTGTTAAAATAATTTTAAATTATAAATCAACTGCAGATTTCTGCATCTGACATTCACATGTTTCAGCTGTCATGCTTGAATGTCTCAGTACTTGCAGCTTTCCCCTGAAGCTGACTTTGTGGTCACAGCTTTTTTTTCCTTTTTGCCAACAGCTTTATTGAGATATAATTCACATACCATACAATTAACCCATTTTAAGTCTACAGTTTATTGGCTTGTAGTATATTCACAGAGTTGTGCAACTATCACCACAATCATTTTTAGAACATGTTTCTTACCCCCGAAAGAAACCTTAAACCATTTAGCTATCACCTTTCCAATTCCCCTGTTGTCCCCAGTCCTAAACAACCACTAATCTACTTTACATTTCTATAGATTTGTGTGTTCTGGATATGTCCTATAATAAAATCAGACAATATATAGCCTTTTATGTCAGGCTTCTTTTTTACTTAGCGTGTTTTCAGGGTTCACCCATGTTGTGGCTTCAATCAGTACTTTTTTATTTTATTGCGCAATATTCCATTTTATGGATATACATTTTCCATTGGTTATTGGACTTCCACATTTTGCCTATCATGCATAATGTTGCTGTAAACATTCACAGACATGTTTTCTGTGGGCATGTATTTTCATTTTTCTAGGGTATATACCTAGAAATGGAATTGTCAGGACATGGTTACTCTGTTTAACTTTTTGAGGAATAGTCAAACTTTTCTAAAGCTACTATACCAGTTTTGATTGCCGTCAGCAATGTTTGATGGTTCCAATTTCTCTACATCCTTGCCATCTTGCCAACAGCCAGATGGAGAAAGCTATTTTTAATGCATATGAGTTATGAAAGCTTTTCTTCTGCTCTTTAGATACTGTGTATATATGAATGTTAATATTTTCTTAGACTATACTTTTCTTTTATATTAAAACTTGAAACAACCAGAATTGGGGAAGATGGGGCTATTATGGTTAATTTAATTTGGATCATCTCTGGGATAATCAGTAGAACTTTGTATTGCAGTATTTCTTATTGTTGAAACTTTTCCTGATGCACTTCTTTAAAAATACTTTTTCTTACTTTAGGAAGTAAATACTAGTTTGTTTCTACCACTTGTCTGTGAGAGAACTGCATCTAAATTATCTATCTCAGCTCCTTGCACAAGGAAAGTCTGGCATAAAATTAAAGGCACAATAAATACTTGTTAAATGATTTTGTTGTTAAAAAATAATCCAATCTTTCTTTGTTTTGGATTTGACATGCAATCTACTGAATTTTCCCCGGCCAGTAAACTGAGCTTTTACCATTGTGCTGTTTCAGATACATGTATAAAGGTTTGGAAGACATATTTAAAAAAAAAAAAAGACAATTATATTAGTATTATTGGTATATACTAATTTTGAGTATTGCTTTCACATTGTAATTATACTGAAGTTGGTTTTTAATTTAAAAATTAAGAATTTCATGCTTTGGGCTGGGCATGGTGACTCACGCCTGTAATCCCAGCACTTTGGGAGGCCGACGCTGGTGGATCATGAGGTCAGGAGATCGAGACCATCCTGGCTAACACAGTGAAACCCCGTCTCTACTAAAAATACAAAATATATTAGCTGGGTGTGGTGGTGGGCACCTGTAGTCTCAGCTACTCGGGAGCCTGAGTCAAGAGAATGGTGTGAACCCGGGAGGTGGAGCTTGCAGTGAGCCGAGATCGCGCCACTGCACTCCAGCCTGGGTGACAGAGCAAGACTCTGTCTCAAAGAAAAAAAAAAAGAATTTCATGCTTTGATAGATTGCACTTATGTTAGGCAGGTATAGGATTTAAGAGCATGAGGATCATACTTACATCTCTGACTAAACTATTTTTCTTCTGTTCCTTCCTCCCCCCCATCTAATATATCTACTTTGGCATTCTAAATATAGTATGTTTTATATTTACACAGTTTCTTTCTTATGGTCTAGAGAGAAAGCTAATTTTCTGAAATATTTTTGGCTTTTCTATAGGTTGGTCAAAGAAAAAGTGATGTATGAAAAAGAGGCAAAACAACAGGAAGAAAAGATTGAAAAAATGAGAGCTGAAGATGGTGAAAATTATGACATTAAAAAGCAGGTAAAATTATATCATAACAATAGCTAACATTTACAGAATGCCCTATTAACTAATGTAGTTTTTACAATAGTTCTCTGACTGAGATTATATTACTATTTATTTACTATTAAAACTTCCATTTAAAGATAAGGAAACTAAAACACAGGTTAAATAACTGCCCAAATCACACTGTTGCTAAGTGACATAGCTGAGGTTTAGTTTTGTTTTTTGTTTTGTTTGAGACAGGGCCTCACTCTGTCATCCAGGCTAGAGTGCAGTGGTGTGATCACGGCTCACTGCAGCCTTGACCTCTCGGCTCAAGCAATTCTCCCACCTCAACTCCCCAAAGTGCTGGGATTACAGGCATGAGCCGCTGCACCTGGCATAGCTAAGATTTGAACACAGGCATTCTTTTTCTAGTATCTGTACTCTTAATCGCTAAACTTTACTGCCTTTCGATTTTTAAGTGTCATATATAAAAATGGACTAATATTATATTAATTATATATTTAGATTCACAAATATTTTCTCCAAACTGATGTGAAGACCACAAAAATAAAATATGTATTGCACTTTTCAATGACTACTTCTGATTGTCTTCATGACAAATTTCAGTGGCCTTAACATTGCATACAAGGCTCTTCTTGATTTTGAATCAAGAAATGAAGTTACATCTGCTTATTTAACCTCATTTCTTACCAATCCCTATCTCGACCTCTTAGGTGCCTTATAGCTCCCTGAACATGCCCTTTCTTCTTTGCCTCTGAAATTTTACATGTCTGAGATGCTCTTACTCCTGGCCTTACTTATCCTTTCCTTATTAATTTCTGTTCTTCCTTGAGGTCTCTTCTACTCTCACCTCTAGACTGAGTTAGGTGCCCCTGCTTTTCGCTCCCATAACACTTCTTTATTCCCATCATAGCATATATTGAACGTTCATTCTCAGCTGACAGTTGCTTCGTAATTCCTTGAGAAAATAAAGGCCATTAGGGAATTTTCTCATATTCTTATGACAAAATCTATCAACCTATCTGCATCTGTACGTATACCACCTTCCTTCCTGTAAGAGTGGATTATGTGCCCTAGCCCTTGTTATAACTATCAGTGACATTGTTATTACTCTTTTTTCCCTCATCTTAAATACCTCAATAGCATCTGACACAAGTTACCACTTTCACCTTGAAACTTGACACATCCTCTGAGGTGTTCAAAATTAAAATCTTGATCTCACAGTACTCCAACCTACTCTCCCAAACAAAAAAAACTGTTTCTTCTTTCTTTTTCCTCATCTCAGTGAGTGGTACCTCCACTCATCCAGATACTCAAGCTAAAAATTTAGTTGGTCCCTTCTTGATATTTTTCTCTCTTTCTAATAACCACATCCAATATCAGCATCTCCTATTTCTTGTTTTCTTTTCTTTTCTTTCTTTTTTGAGACGGAGTCTTGCTGTGTCACCCAGGCTGGAGTGCAGTGGTGCAATCTCGGCTCACTGCAATGTTCACCTCCCGGGCTCAGCTGATTTTCCTGCCTCAGCCTCCCAAGTAGCTGGGATTAACAGGCATGCACCACCACACCCGGCTAATTTTGTATTTTAGTAGAGACAGGGTTTTGCCCTGTTGGCCAGGCTGTTGAACTCCTGACCTCAGGTGATCTGCCTGCCTTAGCCTCCCGAAGTGCTGGGATTACAGGGGTGAGCTACCGCGCCCAGCCAGCACTTCCTGTTTCTTACTCTCTATTTTTCTCTCTACTGCCATTGTTCTACTCTAGTCCACTATCATCTCTTGCTGGTATTATTTATTGCAGAAGCCTCCCAGTTGGCATACTTCTTTCACCCTTGACATCCTCCATTCCTTCCCCACCACAACCACCAAATAAATCTCTATAAAATGTACCTCAGATCACTTGGTCTTCTACTTAAAATCTAGTGTCAGATGCATTTAAAATAATTTCCAGATGACAGTTTTAAAAAAGGAGAGTGTGAACCAGCTTATACAAACTGTATCTTAAAATTTATTTTTAAAATCAGCTCATGAACTCAAAGTCATTTTTGCCGTGTAAATTGTGGCATAATTGGTAATCACACTTAACTCAGGCTTAATTCAGCAAAATTAATCAATCATTTAAAATAGATTTTTTTGTAGGGAATTGCTTTCTGCCATGCAAAAGAAATGCAGCAGCAGCTGAAACAACTTGTTGGCTGTGTCTTCCCTTGGCTGTCTAGGAAGACAGCCTTCTTATTTTATTAAGCTTTTAGGAGAGGCCGTCTTCCTTTATTTGTGATATAGCACTGTTTGTATAAAAGACATTTGTGTGTCAGATACTCATAAATTGAGGGAGGATTAGTAAACAGATGTGTAGATATAGTATGTCCCCTTTATTTTGTTTTTTAATATTAATAAATTATATTGGGCAGTGGGGTCTCTTTGTGAAGCCCAAGCTGGAGTTTAGTGGTGTGATCCTAGCTCACTGTTACTGTCTCAAACTCCTGGGTTCAAGTGATGCTCCCACCTCAGCCTCCAGAGTAGCTGGGACTACAGATATGTGCCACCATGCCTGGCCAATTATTAAATTTTTTATAGAGACAGGGTCTGACTTTCTTGTTTAGGCTGGTCTTCAATTCCTGGCCTCCAGCGATGCTCCCACCCTAGCCTCTCAGAGTCCTGGGATTATATGCGTGAGCTCCCTGGCCTGGCCTTATCCACCTTTATGAACTAACTACCCTTCATAAGGATTTACATATGGAATGTAACCTTTTATTCTTAAAATTATGATACATACTGCTTTTGTACCTCTTTCACTACATCTAGTGGGAAAATATTATGACATAGTATGTAATTTTATTTTATCCAGGTCCTTCTTGGACTTCATCAGCTTGTTTTCCCGGTCATGTAGCTAGTGACCTCATTTAGTCTTTTTCTTTGCCCTGCTTTTTTTCACCATCAATAATGTATTTTAAAATAGCCCTATAGCTAAAATAGTAGTTATCAGTTACATGGAGTGGAGGAATAAATGTGTTCCCTTTCTAAATAAAATTCTACAAATAATGTTACGGGTTATCACAGAACCTGTTTTCATTTATATTCATGTATGTATCATATTTCAATAAAATCACTACTTTATAGGTAAGGATTAACTACTGAATCCTGTGTTGTATTTGTCATTTCAGAATACCAGCCACATACTAGTTGCATTATTGACTACATACACAGATGTAAAAGGGAAAAAAAATTGTTCAAAAGTTGTTTCTACCCTCAGCCATGTTAAAATTCTCTTTTTGGTCATAGGTATCATAGTTTTTAACAGGATTTGTTAGATTCATAGCCAACTTAGTACTTATTCAGAAATAGCATCTCATATCTCATTATAGAACAATAGTTGTTTCTGTTTGCTTCTGTTGTCGACCTACCATGTATATAGTTGTCAATTGCAGTTTTGTTTCAGAGTTTCCTAAAAATTTGTCTTTAGCCAACCTGCATACATTTCTTAATTTCCTTTCCCTGGCTTAGCTATATTATAGCCATTCATATTTGTTTATCATATACAATGGGTGTTGCATAACCAAAAGAACGGTCTGTTCCTGATTGCCTGAGACTTTAAGGTCAGCAATGATTTTCTTAACATTTATCGTGCCTCTCGTAGAAAATATCAAGAAAGCCAAGTGCTGCATTTTGTGGGTTTTCTACACTTCTCCCTAGATTTCTTCCTCTTCTGAGCTAAACACTCTTCTGAGCTTCTGAGACTGTCCTCAGTCACTTCTCACTACTTTGGCTCTTCTCTCGCTTGGATCCTTTTTTCTCTGGCTTTCCTACCTCTTCTAAATTGGCTGTATTTTAAGCACACACTTAAGGTGCTATCTCTTATTCTATACCAAACTCTTACCTGAAGATGGTTGCTAGAAATCAGGGGACAGTCCCTCTGTTGGACTAGGTATAATTTTGGTTCTTTTAAAATAAGTAATTAGGCCAGGTACAGTGGCTCACATCTGTAATCCCGGCCCTTTGGGAGACCAAACTGGGTAGATCACTTGAGCCTAGGAGTTTGAGACTAGCCTGGGGAACAAGCTAGTCTCAAACTAGCTTGTTTGCATTAGTTCGTTTTTACACTGCTATGTAGAACTACCTGAGACTGGGTAATTTATAAAGAAAAAAGGTTTACTTGACTCTCAGTTCCACATGGCTGGGGAGACCTCAGGAAACTTATAATCATGGCAGAATGTGAAGGGGAAGCGAGCACCTTCTTCACAAGGTGGCAGGGGTGAGAGAGAGAGAGAGAACAAGTGGGAAGTGCCCCACTTTTAAACCCTCTGATCTCATGAGAACTCACTCACTATCAGAGCATGTAGGAAACCGCCCCTATAATCCAATCATCTCCCACTAGGTCCCTCCCTAACATGTGGGGATTACAATTCAAGATGAGATTTGTGTGGGGACACAGAGTGAAACCGTATCAAAGGTGAAACTGTCTCTACAAAAAAATTAAAAAAAAAAATGTATTAGAATACAAAAAATTAGCTGGGTGTGGTAGTGTGCATCTATAGTCCCAGCCACCTAGGAGGCTGAGGTGAGAGGATCACCTGAGCCCAGGAGGTCAAGGCTGCAGTGAGCCATGATCATGCCACTGTACTCCAGCCTGGGTGACAGAGTGAGGCCTTCTCTCAAAAAATATATAAAATAAAATAGAAAAGTAAAAGTAAGCAACTAGGTAAAAGTTTTCAGGAGGCCAGAATATCAGTCAATTAAATATTTATTCTGTTTTTTTTAATTTTCTGACTAAACAATATAACATGTCATTCAAATATTGCCCAAATTGATTTTAGCCTTCCGCTTCTGATAGCTCTCTTCTTCTCCACCAGTTAAGGTTGGGTACAGAGGGTTTTGCCCTCACTTGGTAAAGCTTTCTGGTTTGTTTTTCAACCTATCCTGGGGCATAATGATTGGCAGTAATGACACTCAGTCAGACATATCTCTGTCATTTCTCCTGAGGCACAACTCATCTCTTAGGTTCCAGAAGTAATAAGACAAACTGGTATAATTTTTGGACAAAGAGTTCTCAGTTTTCTCACAAAAGAGTTCTCACAAAAGCTTTGCAATTATTGCATATAATTGCAGTAATATAAAATTCATCTTTTTGAAAACGATGTACACACTTTTTTTTACTCTTTGAAACAAGAGTGAACATTTACGATGACATGTTTCTATGTTTTTCCTAAAAATATAAAGGGGAAATTTTTTTCATTAAATATATGGAAAACTTTAGGAGGCTTCAGTCAACAAAGAAGATACCCCTTTGACCAGGAGTGTCTCACAAGGGTGATCCTCAAAGAAAAACCCAGATTTTCTTTTAATCAGTAATAAAAATATGGAAAATAACTTACAATCATGCAAGAAAATGTGTTTGTCTCTTGGTACATATATGCAGGCTTATAGAAGGTAATACAGTTGCTTTTTTATTTTTTGTTGTAGATTTCACAGGAAATTCCAAAAGAAATTCAAAGAGGTCTTGTACATCCTTCATCCTACCTCCCCCAATGTTAGTATCTTGTGTAAATATAATACAGTATTCAAACCCTGGGGTTGACATTGGTACACCACAGAGCTTACTCATATTTCACTAGTTATACCTGCACTCATTAGTGTGTTTGCATGTATAGTTCTCTGCAGTAGCATGTGCAGCAACCAATCAAGATGGAGAACTGTTCCATCGCAAAGCTCCCTCTTGCCACCTCTTTTTAGCCACTCCATCCTCTCTGCTGCCTAAACCCTAAATAGTTACACTGCCTCCAGAATGTCACATAACATAGAATGGAATCTACAGTATGTAACCTTTTAAAATTGGCTTTTTCTATTTTATATAATTCCCTTTAGGTCCATTGAAGTTATTGAGCGTATCAATAGTTTGTTCTTTATTGCTACTAAGTAGTAGTCCATGGTTTGGATGTACTAACATTTAACCTTTGATGACCATTTGGATTGTTTCCAGGTTTTTGCTGTTGTGGGAAAAGCTGCTGTGAACATTCATGTATAGTTTTGATGTGAACATAACTTTTATTTTATGTGGTTTTGGGGGAACAGGTGGTTTTTGGTTACATGAGTAAGCTCTTTAATGGTGATTTTTGAGATTTTGTGCACCCATCACCCAAGCAGTATACACTGAACCTGATTTATAGTCTTATCCCTCACCCCATTTGTACCCTTTCTGTCTGAGTCCCCAAGGTCTATTGTGTCATTCTTATGCCTTTGCATCCTCATAACTTTGCTCCCACTTATAAGTAAGAACATGTGATGTTTGCTTTTCCATTCCTGAGTTACCTCACTTAAAGTAATAGTCTCCAGTCCCATCCAAGTTGCTGCAAATGCCATTAACTCATTCCTTTTTATGGCTGAGTAGTATTCCATCATATATATATATATATATATATGCATGCCACAGTTTATCCACTTGTTGAGTGATGGACATTTGGGTTGGTTCCACATTTTTGTAGTTGTGGATTGTGCTGCTGTAAACATGCGTGTGCAAGTATCTTTTTCATATGATGACTTCTTTTCCTCTGGGTAGATACCCAGTAGGAATTGCTGGATCAAATGGTAGTCCTACTTTTAGTTCTTTAAGGAATCTCCACCAATATCTATTATTTTTTTATTTTTTGATTATGATCATTCTTGCAGGGGTAAGGTGGTATCGCATTGTGGTTTTGATTTGCATTTCCCTGATCATTAGTGTTGGGCATTTTTTCATATTTTGTTGGCCATTTGTATGTCTTTTGAGAATTGTCTATTCATGTCCTTAACCCACTTTTTGATGGGATTGTTTGTTTTTTTCTTGCTGATTTGTTTGAATTTGTTACAGATTCTGGATATTAGTCCTTTGTCAGATGTATAGATAGTGAAGATTTTCTCCCACTCTGTGGCTTGTCTGTTTACTCTGCTGACTGTTCCTTTTGCCATGCAAAAGCTCTTTAATTAAGTCCCAGCTATTTATCTTTGTTTTTATTACATTTCCTTGTGGGTTCTTAGTTATGAAATCATTGCCTAAGCCAATGTCTAGAAGGGTTTTTCCAATGTTATCTTCTAGAATTTTTATGGTTTCAGGTCTTAGATTTAAGTCCTTAATCCATCTTAAGTTGATTTTTATATAAGGTGAGAAATAAGGATCCAGTTTCATTTTCCTACATGTGGCTTGCCAAGTGTCCCACCACCATTTGTTGAAAAGGGTGTCCTTTCCCCACTTTATGTTTTTGTTTGCTTTGTCAAAGATAGTTGGCTGTAAGTATTTGGGTTTATTTCTAGGTTCTGTACTCTTGAACATAAGTTTTCATTTCTGTAGGATAAATGCCTAACAGTGCAATTACTAGGTTGTATTCCTGTGGTTTTTGTTTTAAAAGAAACTACCAAACTCTTTTCCGGAGTGGCTGTACTATTTTATGTTCCCACCAGCAATGAGTCAATTTCTCTACATCCTTACCAGCATTCAGTGTGATCTCTATTTTTTAATTTTAGCATTTAGCCATCAGCTGTATGATAGCTGTACAGTGATAACTCATTGTGCTTTTAATTTGCATTTCCATAATGGCTAATAATGTTGAACATTTTTTCATGTGCTTATTTGCTGTCTGTATATCCTCTTCAGTGAAAATGAGTGATCAGGCCTTTTGCCCACTAATTGGATGCTTTGTTT